TTTTTTTTTTTTTTAACCCTACTTTAAATATTAATCACATACCACTGATCACCATACATTTGAGGAAATACCTTATATTGAAACCAAAACTAACAGATAAAATACAACTTGGAAGAAATCAACTATGCAGGGAATAGAACACTTCAAGATAGACAACTATAACTATCAGCAGACCTTCTGCATAACAAATACAATTGTATTCATGAAACCAAATGGTGCGTGAAAGAGAAACATTCATAATAAAAAGAGCTTTTGAAAATTAAAAATATGATAACATAAATGAGCAACTCAAGAATCAGAAGGAAAGTTGAGGACATATCTCAGAACGTTGAGCAAAAAATGAAGAAATGGAAGAGATGGGAATATTAGAAGCTCCATTCAGGAGATCCAGTGACCCAATGGTAGGAACTTTGGAAAGATAGAACCAAGAAAATGGAGGATAAATTATTAATAAAATAATTCAGCCAAATTTTACGGAACTGAAGGACATGATTTTCCACATTCGAAGATGCCACTGAGTGCCCAACGTAATGAAAACAGACCCATACCAAAAGACATGTTATGAAACAAAAGAGACAAAAGGAATCTCTGTTATGATGAAAGTAGCTTTTCAAATAACAACTGCACAGCAAGCAATGAGGGAAACCACTCCAAATTGGAGCAAGTTAGAAGGCTCTGGGAGAGATTTTTTTCAATAAGATGAAACTGAGAAAGTACCTAATATATTTGAATGTATTGAGAGTTGATAGAAATGGGGAAACACGTGGAGGTGAATTGTATATAGAAAATGAGCAAATGAAAAATCAGTTTTTATGAGCAAATTTTAAAAATCCCCTAGAATAAAGTAGATCGTTTAGGGAATTATATCCCTTAACTGTGAATATTATTTACATAATAAAAATAAATACTGAGTATTATTAAAAGTAAATACTGAATATTGATCTAACTAAAATTACAGTATCATTCTTTCGGGAGCACATGTTTGTGGTGGGGTTAGGACTGGAATGGTGGAACATGCCTAATCATTATCTGTGGCCATGAGTATGATAGTTACAGAAGCACGTTAAATATCAGAAGAATTAGTTAAAGCAATTCAAAAGTGTTGCCTCTGGGGAGCAGAAAATTGGGTGAGCATAGCGGAGAGATACTGTTGTTTTTAGTAAGTCATGTAGAACAATTTCTCTTTTTAATGTATAAATGTATGAGTTTAGTAATAAGCTTTTTTAAAAAAAATAAAAAAAGGAAAAGAAGAAGGAAGAAAGAAAGAGCATGGGCTTCAAAACCAGATAGACTTGATTTTAACTTCCATCTCCATCGGACCTCTAAGGCTTAGTTTGCTCATGTGTAAAGTAAGGATAATAATACCTGTTTATCACAGTAGTTGTGAAAATTAGAAATAGCATATGTAAGGCATAGTGCTTGTCACCTAGTACATACTCAAAAATTTTTAATTGAATGAACAGACAAATAAATAGATAAATGAATATACAAATAAACCTCCAACTATGAGGTCAGTAACTACATGCCATTGTTATTGCAAGGTACTTCTTTGATGTATATTATGAAAGCGTATATAAGCACTAAGAAGAGGCAATACAATATAATAGATGTGGTTCTGAATTTTTCACTCACTGTGAAACTTTCGGAAAGTTACCTGATATTTAAGTCTCCAGTTTTTCATCTGTATCATATTTATACTAGTTTGTTAAAAGCAAAGTTGTTACTATCACCTGGTCTTTAAGAAAAAAGAAAAAAGAAAAATTGATATTATAATTAAGTTTTGTAAGCACTGTGCCTGGAGCATGATACAAGTTCAAATAAGTGACTGTTATTAATAATACTAATAACTCATGAATATAAAATAGTGACATTAAAGCTTTTATTATGTACTGGTGAGTGGAAAGATTTAAAATTCTGTGTGCATCATAACAGTGATGTAAAACTTGCCATACTTATGGATGAAGACTGGAAGGAAATGACAAAAAAAGGTAAACTAATGTTTTTTAGAGTGGTAGAATTATTAGTGATTTCTTTAAAAAGTATTTTCTTTGTTGTTAAATTGTGTATATACTGAATCCAAGCTGGATGGGGGACAAGAATGAAAAGAAACCAGTTTGGGAATTAGAAAACTTGAGTTAGAATTCTAGCTCCACTGCTTTGTGGCTGTTTTATTTTAGAAAAATTATTTAACTTCTCTGGGTTTTGTTATTTCTATATTCAAGATGTTTCCTCATCTGAATATAGAAATAACAAAACCCAGAAAAGTTAAATAATTTTTCATCTTCCAGGTGAAGTTTAAATGCAAAAGTAAAGATAAATATACTTAATTTAAATGTGAAGCTTAAATGAGCTAATATACATAGAAGGTTTGTAAAGCTTAAAGTGATATATACAAATATTACCACTGAGATATTCTAATTTCCATTTTTACCTTTATTTCTTTAAACAGACCTCAGAGAGCTAAGATGAGATTCTGGGCCAAAGGGAAACAAGGGGAGAAGAAGACGACTAGAGTGAAGCCTACTACCCAGTCAGAGGTTTCGCCAGTCTTCACAGGCGCAGATGTGATTCCAGCTCATCAGTTTCCAGATGGTAAAAGTGACGAAAGAGTGGAGCTTATGTTCATAATTTCTGTTCACTCTTTCCGAAAGTTTGCTATTCCTGTAGTATTCATAATGTCAATTCTGTTGGCTGGATGTTCTAATGAGATAGGACCAGCATTGTTAAATCCTTCCTTAACTAAAAAATAAAGTTACATTTTTCCTACAATAGAAGTTCCCAAAAAATGTGTCACAAAACAATGAAGCAGCAACCACCTCAAAAATGACTGTGTATCATAGGTTAGTCTTAGTTTTCTAAACTGTAAAAATGTAGCCATTATTCATTCATTTAACCTATGTATTACTGGTTATAGCTAATAGCAGCTAATATTTGAGTGCTTATTGCATGCAAGGCACTGTAGTAAGCATGTTATGGTTATTAAGTCAGTTGCTCCTCACAATAGTTTTTTGAGAGTTGGTATACTTATTACCAGTTTATGGATGAGAAAACTCAGGCACAGGAAGTTTTTTTATTAGGCCAGGCACAATGGTTCACGCCTGTAATCCCAGCACTTTGGGAGACTGAGGTGGGCAGATCACATGAGTCCAGGAATTCAACACCAGCCTGAGCACATAGTGAAACCCCATCTCTACAAAAAATATAAAATTTAGCCAGGCATGGAGGC